TTACATGATGCAAAAATTTGTTCAGAATTTTTTCATACTGACAAAAACTTTTTACAGATAAATGCAGCAATATTTACTTGGAGAGGTATAAAAATACAAATATGCAAATAGTATATACAAAAGCAATTAAAACAAGATTGGCTAGTAATAAGTCAACTAGAAGTAGCTAATATAATCACTTATCTGAATTTGGCTACTGTTTTCCATTTAAAATTAATAAGAATGTCCAATGCAAATTAGTCTATTTTTGTTCAAAAGAACTCTGTTATACTATTTGGTATATAATGAAAAAACATCTCTATCAATATCTATTGATTTCTACAAATCTGGTCAGTTTTTAATAAGTGTAATAATCTGAGAGGAAGTAATTAAAGATATGTATAAATTTTAAAAGAAACACTCCTTAATTTCACTCTAGCAATATTTATAGTACGAATAGTATACTGACAAGCATTGGCTCTTATGGGCACAATTTGCATATGAGAAAAAAATCTCTATTCTGAAAACAACAATATTTATCAAAGGTCACTAGAAAGTGATCAAGAGAGATTTTTTGTATAAATTTTTCTGTTGTGTTTAGATCTTGTTGCTTAAGTGCTAATAATAAAGGTAATTTCTCATCAATAGAGAAAATTTCAACAGATTCAATTTGGTAGGGAAGCACCGCAATAGATTAAGCAAATAAAGTAAGTAAAAAAATTATCTGCACATTTTATTGAAAATGAATATATAACTGATGTTGATAAATGGACATGTGGGTGCATATACTTTTTAATTAATTAATTTAATTTGTGCAAATACTTAGTTTACAAAAAAGGACCAATTGATAATAGCAATTTCTTTAAAGACTTGAAAAAGAATCGCCAACTGCCATTTTTGACTAATCTGTATATAAATTAGCCAATTTTTAATAATTTAACATGAATGTGATACAAGTTGCTAATAATGATAATGACAATTTAACAGAAGATGTGATGCAAATTGTTAATGATAACAATAACCGATATACTCTCTATGATGAATTAATAGAATTAATGACCAAAGCACTTGCTCTTCTGCAAGAACAAAAAGCAGCTAACAACTTGTATTGGGTAAATAGAGTAAAAAAAAACTTTAGTTAAATTATTAAAATAGTGGAAGAGGTGAAACAGTATCAGTGAAGAAGAACAATACCTTTTACTTTTAAAGATCATACTTACAATACATGATTTTTAAACTAGCACTTTTATAAAATTTCAAATTTTTATTTTTCAAAACTAATCTGAATGAGTAATGACAACTGAAACAAATGGTAGCGAAAACCAATAGGTTAAAGATAGTAACAAAAAATAATCAAGGATACAAGTTTAGTGTTTTTTCTCTTTTATCAAATTAGACATTATAATAATTTTACATCCAATTATAAATGTAAAAGATATAGTGTCAAATATGCATATGTTAATCATTTAAAATACTAAACTTTGAAATAAATTCTTTTAGCTTATATATATTTAACACAATACATTAAAATTGTATATTTTTTGAGTAGTTAAAAACAGGATATTAATCAATATTTTTCAAGTTCAAAAACAATACATTAATTATGACCAATGAAATATTTTTAATGGCATAGAATTAAAATAAAAAAAATTTATTAGGTAGTTGTTGAGATATCTTCATTTAAAAGTATAGTTTAGAACATCAAGCTGTGGCAAGTTTGTTTAAATTTTAAGCGAAGATGTTTCAACAACTACATAATAGAATTCAATTAATTTTTTTTTTATTTTGATTCTACAATATTGTAGAATTAAAATGAAAAATTTTTTATTAAATTTAGTCTAGTAATTATTGAAAAATTGCTTGAAGTCTAAAAAATTCGATTTTGGCCTTTTGATATTTTAACATTTTTTTGAAAATGTATACTAGTTTTTCTCAACAACTACCAAACCAATCTCAATAAATTTTTTTTTATTTTCATTCTACATGTTTACAGGATTAAATAAAAAAAATTCTTGATTTTGACCTGGTATTTGTTGAGAAACAATCGCTAGAAGCTTAAAAAAAATTAAATTTTAAAAACGATCTTCATATAGTATAGCCATCAAAATCGTTTGTGCCACAATATTATCACGTGACTGCAAAATTTTTATGGCGATACTGGGGAAGATGGGATCGGGTTAGTTATCACGTGTCTCATATTAATCACGTGTCTCTTATTAAACGATAGTTCCAAGATAGAAGCCAGGGATCCTTATTATTAACAAGCTGAGTACAAGCAGAAAGAGTTGCTTTATTTGCATATTTATACATTTTGATGTGCAAGGGTTTCGAACCCGGATCTGGAGTTTCAAACCCGTACACGTGCTATTACTATCGTGACTACGTTTTACTTCCTTTTACATATGGAAAATAAAGAAACTACATAACGAAAATTACAAGCAAGAAAAATTTGCCAAAATTTTTCGTAACAATGTTCGTTCATTTTTTCTTCGGAATTTTTTGGATCCTTAAAATTTCTAATCTTAACTCCTTCGGTCATTAGCTCTCTGGCCAAAATCATATATGTATCCCGAAAATTTTTTTTACTAAGAGAGAGGTGGAGGTCAAAAGAAGGGGGGTAATGTAAAACACCAAATCAAATTGGCCTGGCATAAGATTGTAAATTTTTCAACATAAAAGAACAATTAATTACGTGAAGATTATTACAAAAAAGTTTTTAGTATGCTTAGTATTATATTATTTTAGATTCTTTCTAATTCGCTATGATAGTTCGTCAGTAAATAAACAAATAAATCCTGATTTGTCGACTTAATTAATTGAATTGCTTGCACTTTTCTATGATTAGTATATGAATATTTATAACCTCCCAGTTTCAGATGTAATTACATTAATTTACTAGTTCATTACCGCTGTTGTATTTGATATTAATGAATTCTTGATAAACTGTCAAAATCTTGTAGTTTTGCTTTTCTATTTATAAGATGAACAATACCTTAAAATAGATTGCATATCATTTTTATAAATATTAGGAGTTGCTATATTTAGCATTTTAACACGAATAATATGAATATTTTTCTGCCTTTTATAGGTGTTATATAATATTTGTCATATGTTGACACGGAACTTAGGATTTTCGGGTCAGCGTGTAAGTATATACTAAATCAAAAATTATAATTTATTAAGAAACTCAAAATCAACTTAAAATCTGTGCCCATTTACCACATATATAATTTAAATTGATACATATTATAATGTATATGTCACAATTGTTATGGGTAAAGATGAATCCTTTATCCGTTTTCCTATTTAAAATTTAACGGATATCCGGATAATTTGTGGATTAGCGGAAACGAAGTTTCCGCTTATTCACATACGGTCGGTATTATTGGGTCCGTATTACTATATTATTTCACCGACAATCACTTCACCGACAGCTCATTTAGCCGACATCACGCCAGGTGAAATTTAATATAAATATATACCTGCAACTAATCAAATGCTTAACCCTAACCCTATGTGATGTCGGCTAAATGAACGTTCGGTGAATGATTGTCGGTCCGATCTTGATATAGTGATCGGGGGATTATGTTACTAATTAGACTAGAGGATATCCCGAGCTACTATTCGATAATTATATACGATCATAGATCGTTTTAGTGCTAATAATTATATACGAGCATAGATTGTTTTAGCGCTAATGAATGTGTAATATTCACCAGTTAGGTACGTACAGTAAATGAGACTCATTTAAATGAGTAGCACTCATTAAAGTGTTAACTTTCAAGGTACCATTCCATACTCTAATAATTTTAATGATTTGTATATAAGAAAATTAAGATAGTTTTAAATCTAAAAAATTTTTTTTTTCAATTCACTTTAAAAATATTGCATTCAAAAAACATATTAGTTCTTGAAATAAATTGTTTTATTGGCTATTCGTTAATAACATATGCATTTTTGTGTAGTATAAATTTAATATGTAAGCAAACTAAATTAAAACATGTTCGGATTGTCACAAAGCAATGATAAAAAAAAATAACATTGAAAAGAAATACTGTATTTAATTATCAATTACGGTCGTAGCATGATCTCAATGCATGAATTTAAAAGTGAAAATCAAATAAGACTAAAATACTGGAGTTACATATTTATGTTATATAAGCGAAAAAAAATAAGCCAAATAAAAAATTGATAAATGCTTAAAAAAAAAGGGTTAAAGTGTTATTTGCTGATCTTATCTAGTGCCGTTATGACAATAAAATATGACTTGCCGTTGTGTCAATAAATTTGTCAATAAAAATTTATACGAATTTGATATTTTTGCACATGATTTACCCCGCGATGGGAATATTAACTAATCAAAAAAAAGAAAGCAAATGTTTACATGACCTTAAAAGCATAACATGGATGGGATGCAATTTGAATATTACAAGTCCTAACCTAATTAGTCTCATTTTAGGATTCGCCGTGAAACATTGCATCGTTTCAGACTCTCATGAGATCAATAGTACATAAGTTGATCAATGCAATTATATAATGCATAGATCAAAGCTTAATTATGAACGATATATTTTAGCGAAAACTATACATAAACACGGTGGCTTGAGCATGTTTCCATTCATTTTATGAAACTAATTGAATTAACGAAATTATCATACTAGTTGTTTTTTTAATCTTCGTTACTATTACATATTTTTACTCATATTGTTTCGCCTTTAACAATTGGTTTCTTTTGTCGATCTGATTTTCATTCTCACTAGCGATTTTACAGTATATGAATGAATTTCTTACCAGATAAGGATTACCATAAGGGGTTATAATGTAAAATATATTATGAATATTAATTAAATCCGATCATTATCAAAAATCCGAGCTATAATTTGCTTCTATATATAAAATGACATGAATTTATTAGTATTTTAATGTAAACAAATTAGGTAATCCCAAATTTGTTTTCTTTTATTGAAAAAAAAAAGGTAATTAAAAAAAAGAAACAGGGACGTTAAATTTAATTGGAAATAATGAATGATCGATCACTAGAAATTGAAATAGTAAATCAGAATGTTGTGAATAATGTGCGAAATATGTCATTTGAAAACATAACACTGTCAACTGAAGAAGCTATAAGCGAAGACGATGAAGGAACAAATTCCACAAGAAACAATTCGGCATATTTCGCAAACAACAATTCTACATATTTCGCAAGCAATAATTCGACATATTTAACAAGCAACAATTCAACTTTGAACGACCTTTCAAATGAAGTTAATGAAATAAATATGATGCAAACAACTACATATGATTCAGCCGAAGAAAAAAATAATAAAGATATAGATGCGATGAAGCATATATCAACAAGGAATAAGAGTTATCAATTTCGTGCTTTGGTAAATATTTAAAATTTACCAGCTGTGTTGTTTAGAAATTCACTTGTTGATGCTAAATAATGATACATTCTTTTTAAATTATAGACAAGAAAAACGTTATCATACCAAAAAAGACAGAAATGCGTAAATATTTTTTGGATAATAATATGTCCATTATTAATGGTAGCCGTTGCTAATTTAGTCGGAACTGTTTTGAGAATAATAATTCCTACCCCTCCAGGTATTAATGATTTAGTATTATCATATATATAGTATTATCATGTATCTATATATCTATCTATCTATCTATCTATCTATCTATCTATCTATATTTATTTATTTATTTATAATGTCAACAATAATTTCATTTAGAATACTTGCTATGTTCAAGTTTAAACGCATCAAGGTTAGATGGAAGTAAATATCAAGTAAAGGAGACGAATCCTAATATTCCAAGAACTCTATCAGATCAAATACCAAATGCATTACCAAAACAAATAGTGATAAACTATAATTTGGATTATGTGAACAAGGTGATGCAGGATTGCGTCTTTTGGCTTGGCAGAGATTATCCTTATAGGGCTCCTTATGAAAATGATCCTCAAGTTTTTTCCGATGCTTTACGAAAACGGGATACGTGTGTATATTTAATATATTATTACCTTTTTTTTATCCTTACTTTATTAATAATGAATATATATTTATATATTGAATTAGAACTTTTTCTCCGGAGCCACGATTTGGTTATTTTGGTCCTTCTGCCCCACCACTTAATTATAGGTATCTTTTATCAAAAGAAACATTCCCATGGGCGTACGTACGAGATGCTCCTAACGTATCTAGTGGTGATAGACCTTTAGATACTACCAATATCACGAATCCATCTCAATTTTCCCCTATAAATAATTTTAACTATGGGACTGGTAAAAATAATTTTATTTAATTAAATACCTATATTAATTACTTTAATCTTCATATACTAATTGTTAATTATTAGGATTTCTTAGTAGGATTGACACTCAATATTATTCAAACTACTCTGATTATCCATCAATAAATGCTACAAAACAATATATTCCACTTCCATATTTTCAAAAATGGTATACCAACTCAACCGACGAACAGATGGACTTAGTATTGAGAAGTCATCTAGTTCAGGTCATAGATCAGATAAGATCTCTTGATCCTAATTCCAAGAATTTACCCGTAATAAAGAGAAATTTGGTCAATCAAATACCATGGGGAACAATTTTATTTGATAACATTGGTGATAAATTCAAAAAACAATGGAATTATAC